GCGCGTCTGGGCTGTCGCGAATGCGAATGCGATCACATTGGCTCCATTGGCCAGCAGTGCGCCGCAGTCGGCGGTCAGTGCCAGTGCCGTGAGGGCTATGCGGGCCGCAACTGCAACAGCTGCGCCATTGGCTACTTTGGCTATCCCGAGTGCCGACGCTGCGGCTGCGATGTGGCGGGCTCATTTACGCGCGCCGACGGCCTTATAGCCTGCGATTCCAATGGCCAGTGCCCGTGCAAATCGCTCGTGGTGGGTCTCAAGTGCGATACGTGCATGCAGAGCACATTCGGTTTGTCCGCACTCAATCCCGAGGGCTGCACACGCTGCTTTTGCTTTGGACGCGCCGCCGAGTGTGAGCAGAGCGAACTCTCCTGGGGTCACATACGCATGCCGGAGTCGCGCAATCTCAGCGTGCAACAGCTGCGACCGCAGCATGTCACCAGCGGCGACTTTGAGTACATTGTCGTGGTGCAGATGGCGGGCAGCGTCTCTTATCGCGAGGATGCCGAAATTCAGCGCATGAACGATCTCAGCCTGGTGCCGCGCTCCACGGGCAACGTATCCATTGGCGCCTATGCACAGTTCTATCAGCCGCTCTACTTTCAGCTGCCGCCCCAGTTCTATGGTGATCGCACCACCAGCTACGGCGGCTATCTATACTTTTCGCTGCTAACCGAGGGCGCGCACACGCCGCTCGAGCGGAAGGTGCTGGCCCAGTATCCGCTGGTGCAGCTGCATGCACACGCCAAGCTGGTGTTGGATTTTTACGAGTACGAGGAATACGAGTATTCGCTGAATGTGACGCATCGTGTGCCGCTGCACGAATCCTATTGGAAATATCATCACAATAGTCAGGCGGTGAATCGCGGCACGTTGATGGCGGCGCTGCAGAATGTGCGACACATATTTCTGCGCGCTTTTGCGTTTGCCGATTTTCAGCAAGTTGTGTAAGTCGAATTTATTTTAAGCTTGAGCGCATTTCCTGTATGTTTACTACTCTTTTTTAGCCTACATAATGTGCACATGGATGCTGCCATATATGTGCAGGGCTCCACCAATCTCATAGCCAAGGGCGTGGAGCGCTGCAACTGCCCCAAACGTTTCGATGGGCTGTCCTGTCAGGATCCGGGCCGCTCGTTCTATCGCTGGCGCAACACAAGCGACGTAGAAAGTGTGTTTATTGAGGATCTGATTGGACGTGCTGCGCCGTGTCACTGCAATGGACGCAGCAATGATTGCGATCGCGAAACCGGCGTTTGTTTGGTAAATAATCTTCTTTAATTAAGAAAAACAGACGCGCACTTCACTTTTGGCGCCTATTTTGGACTTTACTGCCGCCATTTTCCAATAGGCTTTTTGCTAGTGTTGAACAGGATTCTGGTTTCCGTTCACATTAGGCTTGGTATGCAGCCGACTTGTCCAATCAGCACAAGCAAGCAATTGATTGCAGTTTAAATTTGATGCGCTTTTAGTCAATTTAAAAATACATTACTGGAATATAAGCGCTTCTAAGCATCTCTTGCGATTGTTTTTAGCCGCATTAATTTGCTTACATTATCAGCGAGCAGCATACCAGTCCTTTGCAATCGCACTGCAGCACAATTTGATAGCTGCCCAACACTGCAATTGGAATTTACAGCTATTTGTTTAAGCTGAACATTTCTTGTTTTTTTTTTTTCTAGAATTGTCGCGAAAACAGCGGAGGCGCACACTGCCAGCAATGCGCCGAGGGCTACTACGGCGATCCGAATTCACGGCATGGCTGCCAGGCCTGCCCCTGTCCGGAGACCAATCGCAACTTTGCACGCGGCTGCAATGTGTGGGAGGGCGAGGTGAGCTGCGTCTGCAAGCCCGGCTACACGGGACGCCTTTGCGAACGCTGTCGCCTGGGCTTCTTTGGCAATCCGATGCAATATCCCAATAGCAGCTGCCAGGCATGCAATTGCCATGGCGATGGCATACGCGCCGAGGGCTGTGATGCGGAGACGGGTCAGTGCTATTGTCGCGAAGGCGTCACGGGTCTGAAGTGCAATAAGTGCGTGGCACAGCGGCAGCATTTGCAGGAAAGCGGTTGCACGCGTAAGTCGACTATTTCATACCCCATATATGCTAGATAAACAATTGTCTACTACTTTCCATTTAGTCTGTGACAATTGCACGCTGCTGCTGCTGGACTATGTGGAGCTGGTGGGGCATAAGCTGCGCCGTGGCCTACATAACATGGATCTGACGGGCATACCGGCTCCCTATCTAAAACTTGGCGAATACGAGCGCGCCTATGTTAAATGGCGCGGCCGGCATGAGGATTACAGCCAGGCCAGGCAGATGCTGCTGGGCTATGATACGGCTGCGCTTCTCAAACTGGACGCACATGCAGAGAATGGCAAATTTCAGTCGCGCAAGGCGCTGGCGACCATTGGCAAACGCCAGCTGGCGCTGCAGTCCATGCAGGACGCGGCTCTTGCACTGCAACAAGATGTACGCACTCTACACGCTGGGTTGATGCAAACGCTGTACGATTTACGCAACTATGGAATGGGTGCACAGCATCTGAGTTTGCCGACGGCGCTGCAGCAGGCGCGCTTCTATCTGCAGGCTATACAGCAGCACCATCAGCTGGTGCAGGACATACGCAGCACCAGCGACTGCGCCTGGCAACAGTACTATGTCACGGGCAATTCCTCTGATGCGGCATACGATCAGCGTGCACGTCTCGAGATGCTGTGGCGTGATCTTAACCAAACCAATTATCGCGTTGCGGACATGCGACTGCACATCGATCGCACCCAGGATGTGGAGAACGAGGCGGACGATGTGCTCGAGCATGTGCGCAATCTAAGCGCTCATGTTGCCGAGCAGTACCAGCAACTGGAAGAGCTGGGCGGGCGCATCGAACAACAGCTTAATCAGAGTCACACAGCGCGTGGCGAGCAAATGCTGCAAGCAGCCAGGGAGCAACAAATGCAGCTAAATGAGCAGCGGCAGCAGCTGTCTGCTATGGCTGCATTGCTGAACGAAACGCTCGCGGATCAGGCGGAACTGCAGCGCGAGGTGCGCAAGCACTGGCTGCCCAAGGCGGAGAAACATGCGGCACGCCTGCTCGAGCGCTCCAATGAGTATGCCAGGCAATTTCAGCCCACAAGAAATGCGGCACGCATTGCCATGCTGGCTAGGTGAATGACGAATCTAGCGCTAGCTCTGGCTTAGATTTACCTTCTCTTCCTCTTGCAGCTCGGCACACAGCAACATTTCCACAGCTATTGCGGCTGCACGCCAGGCATCGCTGCTATCCAAGGAACGCGTCCATGAGGCACAACGCACGCTTTATCCCAGCGATGGCAGTTCAATGATTGAGCGTGCCAAGCACTCGCTGCAACGCTCCAAGCAGCTGCAACGCGAGGCTCTGCAGCAAATGCAAAAATCCACGGTGCTCAAGGGTAAGTTGCAGCATCAGGAGCAACAAGTGGAGGGCATCAAACGCACCATCTTTGAGACGGGACAGCGCAGCAATAACATCTCCAGCCAGCTGCAATTGCTGACGAGCAGCTCGGCGCGACGTCATGCCCAAGAAAGCATGGATCTGGCGCAAAAGACAAGCGAGGAGATGCATGCGGAGCTGCGCAAGGCACGCGAAATGCAGAAATCCATACAGCTTATGCGCAAATCATTTGCCATGCTGGAGCCAGACTGGGAGATCAAGCTGGGCATGGCCGAGGAGAACATTTCGTTAACAAAGACAAATTTGCGTTTCGCCAACGTTTCGCTCAGCTATGTGGAGCAGCAGGCCGCCAAGGAGCAGCAGGTGTTTGAAATCTGGAACAATAGCATGGCCCAGCAGCTGCAGCAGCTAAGAGATCAAATAGCCAAGGCCAGGCATGCAGCGGAAGCGGTAGGTGGCATTGAATAGCTGTACTTGAAGTCGATTCAAGCATTTCTCTCTCTTCTGTCAGATTGATGTCTCGCTGGAATCGCTGGGTCCCAAATGCAGTCGCACATATTTGCCTGTTTCTTATGGCCTGAGCACATCCAACTCCTTGCGCTTGAGCTTTGCCTTGGCCAATCACATGGGAAACTCGCCCCTGCTGCATGTCCAGGGCAGCGAGGGACGACACATCACGCTGGAGCTGTATAAGCGACGAGTACGTCTGGTTTGGTATTTGGGCGGCAGCACAGCGACCATAACACACCCGCTTGAGGTGCAGACCCGCGATCCCAAGTACGATGATGCCTGGTATCAGGTAGAGGCGAATCGCACGCTGAATTTGGGTAGCCTGCTGGTGCGTCGCATGAACAACTTTGGTGCCTTAATGCCGGGTTCGCCAGTCATGGGCTCCACGGATGCGGAGCACACGCGTTTCTATCAAACGCACGACGAGCGCATTTTGCTGGGCGGCCATGCGGCCAAGGAGCAAACACCAGGTCTAAATGTGGTCGTGCATCAGGTGGAGGTGGACAATAAGCCGTTGGGCTTGTGGAATTTTATAGGCAGCGAGGGTCGCTGCGGTGGTGCCATGATTGGCGCCCGGGAATCATCCGCTTCCTCCGTGGCGCGTCATTTCAATGGCCTGGGCTATGCGCAGCTTAAGAAGACGCGTCCGCGTCCCTATCGCAAGAATCTGTTTGCGTTGCAGATGACCTTCCGCACACTGGACGAGAATGCCTTGCTGTTCCTGGCGGTTGATGACAAGAACGTGAGAATCCTTAAACCTTAACTCCTCAAGCTTTTATTCTACAATTTGTGTTTCTCTAGAACCGCTCCGTGTCGGTCACATTGAGTCGCGGTCGCATCATGTTCCGCATTGACTATGGCGACGAGTCCAAGCTGGAGATAAATACAACCAAAAAGTACAACACAGGGCAGTGGATCAAAATCGAGGCGGCCAGAGAGTTCTCGGCACGACGCAGCACGGAGAATGGTATGCTGCGTGTAAACAACGATCGTGCCATCTCCGGTGCACCCACATTGCCTGTGAAGAGTCACATGCTGCCCGATCTGTCCAAGGCGGTGTATTATCTGGGAGGCGTACCACCAGGTGAGCATTCCGGGATTTGTAGTAGCTGAGAACACCTGAAAAGAAAACGCATTGTAAATAAATTAGAGAGGTCTAGTTGAAAGTGATCGACTAAGAGATTTAGTAGTACTTATAATTAAAAGAGTATATGGACAAATCTAAACAAGGAAGAGCTGGCACGTCCTGCTTATCAAGAGTAAATATTGTTGATAGGGTCGAAGATATCTTCTACTCCTTTTGCAACTTCTCAATATGTAGTTGTAATTCGCACACGGTATTAGCTTTGACTAGTCGTTAAGTTTATTTTTCTTCTAGGCTAAAATAATAACAACACATATTCTAATATTTGATTAATTGCTTTTGAAAGGCTTCACATCGGGCACAACCAAGGCGCCGGGTGCCGACAATCCTTTCCTTGGCTGCATGATGGATGTGCAGGTGAATGGCGAGACTTACGATCCGCTCGAAAGTTCCACATACTTTGGCGTGGAGTCCTCCTGCAAGGACATGATTACCAAGTAAGCTCACATATTATTGAATTATAAAGAAAAACCGTAAATGTTTTGCTGATTCACAGAGCTGGCTTTACCGGCAATGGTTACCTGGAGCTGCCATCGCAGTCGCTACGCAAACGCGCCAACACTGGCCTTGTTTTCCGCACACTGCAAGCCGATTGTTTGCTGCTGTTGGCCGCCTATCCGCCTGAAGTGCTGGCCGACTACGATGACAAAGATATTAAGGGCAACTATTCGATGAGTCTGGTCGATGGTCAGCTGCAGGTGTGGATTAATTCGGGACGCAGCTTCATCAAAATGTTCTCCAATGCAAGTCAGCTGAACGATGGCGAACTGCATGTCATCAATCTTATCAAGACTGGGCGCCGCCTGGAGCTGATGGTGGACGATGAACTGCAGGAGGTGCGCAGCCTAACGGGCACGCCCTCACTTGTTAGCCTGCCACAGGAAGCTGGGGGTCTATATATAGGCGGCGCACCACCTCATGAAATTTACACTCCCCTGGCGCCCACATTTGTAAAGCTCGAGGGCGCTGTCCGGGATGTAGTGTTCAATAATCGTACGATTAATTTTAATGATGCTTTGACCTTTGCCAATGTGCAGATTGGACGCAATGGTCCGGTCATGGGCAGCCTCAAGGGCGCCCTCTACGATGTGCTGCTCAAGACGGAGCCGATGATTGGCAAGAGTTTTACCGCCTCGCCGGAAGGCTGCAAGCGGGTGAGTTGTTAACATCAGTTTGTGTAAAACATGGTCTGGGTTATTGAATTAAAAGATTTTGGGTGCGACGGTTTCTCTGGAGATGTGCATGTAAATAGATTATGTGGCTACCTAACTCTCAACACTCTGATCAACTTAAATGTTTCTCTTTGTTTTTATAGGATTTTAGTTGCTAAGCAATTATGTCAAAAGCTGCTACGCAAAAAGTTTCAAGCGCTGCGCTGCAAGAAAAGCTCTTTTGTATACTAATTTCGCCTAAAAAAAATAAAAGCTTACTAAACATAGCTACTCAATGTGGTCTACATGTGGATTAATCATACAAATCATCAAATATAACCTCAGATTTAACCAAAAGCTGCCATACGTTCGAGCTATCAAGCTTTGACGGCGCTTAAGCGCCATATAAGTTAGTTTACAGAGCGAAACGCCTCCTTGCAAAAGCTCTTTAAGCTAGCTCATTTATATTTAAGAATTATTTGGAAGCTGGCTTACAAGATTTAATTACTTTCGAAAGTTTATTAAAGCTATTATCAGCTGGCTAAATTGTTTTTAGCAATTATTGAGAAGTTAGGAAATAATATGCAGACATATGAGAAGATAAATAATAATGAGTTTAAATGTCGTAGTCTGTTTTGAAGCTATTAAAGCTTTGGTAAGCTGATTTACAGCATGCAAAAGCTTTGATTGTGGATTAAAGGTAATAAAATACTAATCGGTTAATAGTATGTAAAAGCTTCAAGTCTGTTTAAAAATATCGTATAAAGCTCTTGTAATCCAGCTTAATTCAATGTAAGAACTACAAATAACTTTAAGTTTTTAAAAGCTCTGGGTCGCATCTGGATGTTAATTACATTTGACAACAACATACTTATGTAAATATTGCATATTTTCATATCACATCTTTTGTTTATTTTAAGCTTAAAAGCTCAAATATAGTCTATAAGAAACCATATCATCTAGGCCTATCTACATATCAATATATATATATATACATATATTCACAAACATTATTCACTCATCAACGCTTTGTGTACGTTTTTGCTTTCATCAATGTATCATACGAATAACTTTTTGCTTTCTTCAACTTGTTATCACATTTTGCGTATTAAATAAAAAAAAAACATTTTTTTAACAAAAAAAAAACCCAAAAGAAAATCATGCCAACGTTTTTATTTTTTAACCTCACTAAAAAAAAAATAAAATAAAAAAAAAGCGCACGCTGTGAAAGCTCGCTCACAAAAGCTCAGAACTAACACAAAGTCGTCGCGGTGAGTTAAGTTCACATTTAAATAAATCTAGGGCTAGAATTAATGGAATTCATTTCTTACAGATTGGCAGCTACTCCTACGAACCGAATGCCTTCAAGTTTGGCGACGAGCTTTATAGCTATGCGCAGCTGAAGCTGCCGGAGCGACACTTTTGGCAGCGCAACTTTCAGCTGAGCTTTGATTTCCGCTCCTTCTATCCCAATGGCATGCTCTATTTGTCGCCGGGCAGCAAGGAGAAACCCAAGCATTATGTGGCCCTGCTCCTGAAGGATGGCCAACTGGTGTTGATTGTGCGCGGACGACGCCGCGAGGAGCTGCTGCTTACGGCAAAGCTAAACGATGGTGAATGGCATCGTGTGACCATCAGTTGCCACGAGCGCAAGGTCACGCTGAGCGTAGAGATTGGACGTACAGATCAAAAGACCTCGGCACAAATGAAGGTGCCCAAAAAAATAGGCGCATCACAGCTGCTGCTGGTCGGTGGCCTGCCCCAGGCGCCCGTCAAGGTGCCTTCAGAGCTGTACATGCGACTAGAGGCATTTAAAGGCTGTCTGCGTCGCGTGAATATTAACAATAGCACACAGGATCTGGCACGTCCGGGCAAGCACGCAAATGTGGGTCAATGTTTTCCAACCGTCGAGCGCGGCAGCTACTTCCCAGGCGATGCCTATGCCATATACAGTGAGTACAAATATCAAATATATATCAGTCCATATAAACATATCCTTACTTCATTTCATTCATATTTTTGCTTACAGAAAAAAACTTTCATGTGGCCAAATATCTGGAATTGGAAATGGAATTTCGGACCTCTGAGCTCTCCGGCATATTGCTGAGCGTTTCCGAACCAAGCGGTTTTCCCGCACTCTCCCTGGAGCTCAGCAATGGCAATGTGAGTCCAAAAGTTATCTCATTCAATTTAATTAAATCTAAATCAATTAATCGATTGTAGATCGTTTTCTCTTGTGACCTGGGCGATGGTGTGCCATTCCGTGTGGAGTCCACGCTGCCAAACAAATATGCGCTCTGCGACAACAAATGGCATAATATATCCGCGCTCTATGATGGCGAACAGATTGCGCTTAGGATTGATCAGCTGCCGGCCACGATCAGCATGTCAAATGAACGCAATGTGGGCAAAGTGCAAACACGTTCGCCCCTCTACATAGGCGGTCTGCCAGGTAATTTTCAATTAATCCAAATCGTTGATTACCTTATACTCATGCTTTGTCTATTTTTCAAATCGCACCGCTAGATGTTGCACCCAGCGGCTGTTTGCTGGCGCGTGATAATTTCAAGGGCTGCATACGCAATGTTTCTATACGCAACGAGAGACGCGATTGGATCGATATGGATGATCTGCACAATGTGCTGCTCAGCGAATGTCTCGTGTCCAGCGATGAGTAGCTACTGATTGCCGGGATGCTTTCTCTGGTTCCTGTTTGATGATGCCACACCAAAACTTTTTCCAAATGTATTGTGATCAATTATGAGTTTTATTTAAGCCATAGACTTAGACAACGTCCAGTTATAGTTGCATATCCACTGCCATATAAGTAATATTTATATAGCTATACGATTCGGCTTGTGCACGCACAAGTTTTCATTGCCAGTGACTGCATTTTAATTTTATTATATTAACTAGGCCCCACAAATTTTTAATTTATTTTATCTTTTAATTTATTATGTTTTACTTTAAAGAGGCTTTAAGTTTGCAAATCGATTTTATTTCAAATTTTATTTAAACACCCAAACTATGTACTTGTTAATGAATCTCCCACTTGTACAGTACTTATGCGCATATCTATTTATAAAATAAGTATTTCAATTAGCTGTATTTAATTAAATAATTATACTCATTTGTACATAACAGCCATTTAATTAGGAATTTTATATATTTAAATTAACTTTACGATTTGATGTTCAAATAAATCATTTAAATAAAATACTTATTTTAATATATGCATAAATTGTGTACAGTTTTCTATATTATCAGCTGTTACAATTTAGATTTCAAATCAGATGCCACAAATTATATATCAATTTCAACAATTTTAACAGACAGACAAATGCAATTTTGTAAAGATCTATCTTTTGTTGAAAACTTATCCATATCGGAATATTTTATAGAAAACATATTAAAAGAATATTTATGGCACAATAAGATAATTATATTTAAAACAATTGAGTCGGATCCACGCATATAATTTCAATTATATTTACCTTTTCTGCCGAGCTGGGAGTTATCCGTCAGAATCAAACGCACTTTTTCTGTTTATATTTACAACACGTGAGACATTCAAAAATAACCAAAATGAGTACATTAAGCACTAGGAGAACCGATTTTAGCAGTCGTCGTAGCACCCGAAAATCGCAGGGAGGTCCACCTGCGATCACCTACGACATTTACTGTGTCAATTTCTACGACAATGGGCTCAAGGCAGTGCGTGAAGAGTTCATCAAGCAGATAAAGCTTGGCCTGCGACGATTCCTATTTGTGATCGATCTGGATACTGAGCTGGAAGATGCTCGCGTATCCAACCAGCTGTCTAG